AAAAGGACTCAAAATACAAGTAAAATTGGTGTCTTCTGTCGGTAGAAAATTTACAATATCTTGTACTTTTATTGTTTTTTCACGCTCCGAAAATCTTTGTAGTTTTCATGGGTCTCGTTTTTTGATAGATCAAGGTTATCAATTGAGGGTTAGCTCTCTAGCTTGCTCATTTGAAAAAAATTGAGTTAACTTTATAGTTGGTGAGAACTGCTGAGTATGAGGAAAGCTGCTAATTATCAATCAGGAAGGATATTCAGTGACCGAAGGTGGAAAATTCCGTTCTTTGTGAGTTTGCTTGTGTCAATTACTCTATTTACTGTTACCATTTTTGGACTATACTCTTCATCGTATGGAAGAGATGAATTGCAAGTCGACATTGTTTCGTTTGAAAATTCTGAGGACTTGGACGGGTACTTTGTGGAATCGGATTTAATGAAGTCATTTAAGTCGAATAAGGCCTCTAAAACAGAGCCACCAAGATTTGCTTATCTCATTTCCGGTACTAAGGGCGATAGTCAAAGGATGATGCGGACATTGCAAGCGGTGTATCATCCGAGAAATCAGTATATTCTGCATATGGATCTCGAGGCTCCCCCACGGGAGAGGTTAAATTTGACACTGTCAGTGAAGAATGACCCAACATTTAGCGAGGTGGAGAATGTGCGTGTTATGTCGCAATCCAATTTGGTGACTTACAAAGGTCCTACGATGATTGCTTGTACCCTTCAAGCCATAGCGATTTTGTTGAAGGAGAGCTCAAATTGGGACTGGTTTATCAATCTAAGTGCTTCCGATTATCCTCTTGTGACACAAGACGGTCAGTTGAATACTCAGTGCTCTACTTAACTATATGAAATGGTGTTCATTCATGTTATATTGTTGATATCTTTTATTTTTACTTATTGTGAAAGAGGTCTCCTCATCTATTCTATCCTGTCGTTGAAAATGAAAATAAAAATGAAAATGATGAAGTTATTCACATGGAAAATGACTGATAAGGTATGTTGCTGCACATATACAACAAGATACAAGATCATGATTTAAACCCTTTATTGAATCAGTAAATAATTACATTGATAGTATGCAGAGGCAAGGATGATATAGTAGTAAAGATTATGAACTTCTGATTTTCAAGTTCTGCCATTTCAGGACTGGTTTCTTAGGAATGATATTTACTTTGAAATGTTTCTTATTTTAGATGAATGCTATTAATGAGTATGCATGGATTTAAGTTGCAAAGTGAAGTAATTCTTTATTAGTTGAGTCATAGTAATACAACTGCGGTGGCAGAATAATGTTGGGAACTTGATTGTAGGACGTGCCTGGTGAAAGTGGGATTCTTTCAATGCTTTGTTACACACTTGAATAATGTGTTCATTTTTTTTTTTTTGGGGGGGGG